TATTTATATTTACATAACGAAAATATAACCCTTTCTTGCAACAGCTGTTATCCTCTCATGGATGCTATCAACAGTTCCAGATATCCGTGTTGTTATGAACTTTGGTGTTGTTTCTCTGCTGTTGTTCTCCATTTCAGTTGATAACAGTTCTTAGAAATAACTATGTAGTGGCTGTAAGGGATATTTCAACCGTGTTCAAGATAATTGTAATTATTTTGTTGTTGTTGTTGTTGTTGGTGTTGTTGTGTTGTTTGTTGTTGTTGTCGTCGTTGTTGTTGTTGTAATTATTGTTGCTGTTGTTGTTGTTGTTGTTGTCGTCGTCGTCGTCGTTGTTGTTTGTTGTTTGTTGTTGTTGTTGTTGTTGTTGTTGTCGTTGTCGTTGTTGTTGTTGTTGCTGTTGTTGTTGTTGATATTATCATCATTATTGTTATTGTTATTTTTGATAAGCTTATCGGGTGATATTAGCTATTGCTGTTGTTGGTGCAATCATTTATGTGATTCTGTTTTTGTTAATATCATTATCACAGTTGTTATCGATTATTATTATTATTATCCATCATTTATTTAAGATATAATTCCTTGTATCAGTGTCAATCCTATTATATTGTTTTCACTTTTATTATCATTGTCATTCTATCAATTTAATTTAATTTCTTCTGTATTTCACTCGTAGAATAAAACAAATTTTCATGATGCCTTATCGTCTTTTATCCTTATCCACTCTTCTCCATCCACCCTTTTTTATTCATTTTCTTTCATGATTTCCCCTTCATCAAAGTCATCCCACGAGCAGAGAAGTTCAGTAACTTCTCTCTCCCCTCCTTCCCTCATCCCTCCCTCCTCCCCCTCTCTGCACTGAGTCACCGTGTCCTCCTCTCCCTCCTTTCCCCCTTCCCCTCACCCCTCTCTCCTCCTCTCTACCCTGAAGTACCGTGTCCTCTCCTTCTAGCGTTCCCCCCTCCCACTCCCCTCACTCCTCACCCTTCCCCTGACCCCTACCTCCTCCCCTCCACTCCCTCGCCCCCACCCCCTTCTCCTCACGTCCTCCCCTTCCCCTCACCCCTCCTCCTCCTCCTTCTACAGCTGAAGTCACCCGTGTCCATCTTCTCCCCTCACCCACCCCTACCACCTCACCCCTTCCCCTTCCCCACCCTTCCCCTTCCCCCTTCCCCACCCCTTCCCCACCCCCTCTCCCCTCCACTCCCCTCACCCCACCTATCATCCTGCCCCCCACCCCTCCCACCTCTCCAGCAGCTGAGGTCACCCCGTGTCCCTCCTCTCCCCTCCTCCTCCTCCCTTCCCCTTCCCCTTCACCCCGCCAACCCCTCCCCCTCTCTAGCAGCTGAGGTCACCCGTGTCCTGCCCCTCCCCTCCCCTCCCTCACCCGCCCCTCCCCCCTTCCCATCACCCCCCCTACCCTCCTCTAGCAGCTGAGGTCACCCGTGTCCCTCCCCCCCTCCTTCTCCCCCTCCCCCTTCCCCCACCCCTCCTCCCCCCTCTAGCAGCTGAGGTCACCCGTGTCCTCCTCTCCCCTCACCCTCCCCATTCCCCCTTCCCCCTCCTTCTCACCCTCCCCCCTCCCTACTCCCCTAACCCCTTCCCGCTTCCCCCTCCCCCTCCTCCCCCCTCTCTCAGCAGCTGAGGTTACCCGTGTCCCCCTCTCTCCTTTCGCGTTTCCCCCTCCCCCTTCTCCTTCCCCTCCTCCCTCACCCTTCCCCTTCCCCTCACCCCTCTCCCCCCTCTCTAGCAGCTGAGGTCACCCGTGTCTCCCTCTCTCCTTTCGCGTTTCCCCTCCCCCTTTCCCCTCCCTCATCCTCCTTCTCCCCTCACCCTCACACTTCCCCTCACCCCTCCCTGCCCCCCTAAGCAGCTAAGGTCACCCGTGTCCCTCCTTCTCCCCCACCCCACTTCCCCTTCCCTTCCCCCTCCCCCTTCCCTCACCCCTCCCCCTGCTCTAACAGCTGAGGTCACCCGTGTTCCCCTCTCTCCCTTCTCGGCGTTTCCCCTCGTCCTTTGATGCTTCGCGAGGGGAAAGGGGTCCCGCTTTCCCCTCGCCGCTTCCCCCTCGTCGCTCGGTGGCTGCTGAGGTGAGCGAGGTAATTGTTACTCCCGGTTCAGGTTTGGTTCCTAGGGTTTCTAATTGGTTTTTTCTATTGTTTTTTTTCTATTAGTTTTTTTTTTGTAATTTTTTTCCTATTTTTTTCCTTGCTATTTTAATTTTTTTTTTCTTTTTTTTCTATATTATTGTATTTTTCTATTTTTTTCCTTTTTGTTTTTCTATTGTTTATTCTATTATTTCAAATTTTTTCCTTCTTGTTTTTCGATATTATTCTATTATTTATATTTTTTCCTTCTTGATTTTCTAATTATTATTCTATTACTTCTATTTTTCTTTCCTTCTTGTTTTTCTATTATTATTCTATTATTTCATTTTATTTCCTTCTTGTTTTCAATTATTTCTTCTTCTTCTTCTTGTTTTAAAACGGAGAAACTACGTGTATGTGCATGTTTGTAAAAACAAAGATATATTATGTACATGTTTACATATATTGACACATATATGCATATAAAAGATATATGTATGTGTACATGCATACAACACCACAACACACACACACACACACACACACACATCACACACACACACACACAGACACACACACACCACACACACACACACACACACACACACACACACACACACACACACACACACACAACACACACAGCACACACACACACACACACACAGTATATATATATATATATATATATATATATATATATATATATATATATATATATACTATTCAAAGAACATTCTACAATTTGTTTTCATTTAACCATTAGTTTCCAGTTCCTTTAAGCGGGTCCGCGCCTCAGTGATTGCAAGCAGAACGTGCAAATATTCTGACGTGGGTTTTGGGGACAATTTTGCGATATGCTTTTTGCTTTCTCTCTCTTTCTCTCGCTCTTTGTCTCTCTGTCTCTGTTCTGTCTCTCTTTCTCTCTGTCTCTCTCTCGCTCTCTCTCTCTTGATACTCTGTCTCTCTCTCTCTCTCTCTCTCTCTCTCTCTCTCTCTCTCTGTCTCTCTCTCTCTTCTCTCTGTCTCTCTCTCTTCTCTCTCTCTCGCTCTCTCTCTCTCTCTCTCTCTCTCTCTCTCTCTCTCTCTCTCTCTCTCTCTCTCTCTCTCGTCTCTCTCTCTCTCTCTCTCTCTCTCTCTCTTCTCTCTCTCTTCTCTCGTCTCTCTCTTCTCCTCTTTGTCACTCTGTCTCTCTCTCTCTCTCTCTCTCTTCTCTCTCTCCTCTCTCTCTCTCTCTCTCCCTCTCTCGTCTCTCCTCTCTCTCTCTCTTCTCTCTCTCTCTTTGTCTCTCTGTCTCTCTGTCTCTGCTTCTCTTTCTATCTCGTTGTCCTCTCTCTGTCTCTGTCTCTCTGTCTCTTCTTCTCTCTCTCTCCTCTCTCTCTCTCTCTTTCTCTCTCTCCTCTCTCTCTCTCCTCTCTCTCCTCTCTCTCTCCTCTCTCCTCCTCTCTCTTTGCTCTCTCTCTCTCTCTCTCTCTCTCTCTCTCTCTCTCTCTCTTCTCTCTCTCCCTCATCTCTCTTGTCGTCTCTTTTCTTCCTCGTCCTGTCTCTCTCTCTCTCTCTCTTCTTCTCCTCTCTCTCCTCTCTCCTCTCCTCTCTCGTCTCTCTCTCTCACTTCTCTGTCTCTCTCTCTCTCTCTCTCTCTCTCTCTCTCTCTCTCTCTCTCTCTCTCTCTCTCTCTCTCCTCTCTCTCTCTCTCTCTCCCTCTTTCTCTCTCCTTCCTCCTCTCTCTCTCTCTCTCTCTTCATCTCTCCATTCTCTCTCTCTCTCTCTCACTCTCACATCTCTCTCTCCCTCTCTTCTTCTCTCCCTCTCTCTATCCTCTCTCTCTCTCACTCGCCTCTCTCCTCTCTCTCTCTCTCCTCTCCTCATTTCTCTCTCTCTGTCTCTCTCAGCTTTGCTTGTCTTCTCTGTCTTTCTTATTTTTTATCATCTTCTCTCTCTCCCCAGGTCTCATCTTCTCTCTCGCTCTCTCTCATCCTCTCACTTCTCTCGTCTCATCATCTCTTTCGCTCTCCTCGCTCGTCGCTCTCTCTCTCTCCTCC